CTCACCGTACTTTTTAAGTCTGCCTTCGTTCACGTCCAATGGATTGTCATACGATCTGATTGGTTTGTCAGCTGCGTCTGCGCCAACTCAGGGGTCAGCCGTTGATGGAACTGTGGGTGACGAGAGTTTAATGATCCTATGGATGTGAGACGCAGCGTGGTTGAAATTAGGGTCGCGTGCATAACCACGATGATCGGTCAAACGCCGGTTCGGTATTGGCTTTTTCAGGTCACGGGTACTGTCCAACCACAAAGTTGGATGTGGACGGTGTGGACACAGGTGCCGTGCGCGCGTGCTCATCGATCTGATCGTTGTGAGTACAATATTTGGATGGGTTTCAAGCGAAGTTGGTGTCAGTGGGATCGCAAACAATGCAGCAGTGATTGTATGGATAGTGGCGATTTTTCCAATATATGACCTGTACAACGGCCGATTGAGATGAATGTGGGATTATTAGAGAGCCTTTACGATGGTCTTACAGTTAAGACTAACTTATCCTTATTGATCTCAAAAGTGCAAGTGTTGTGCGCATGATTTTAGGCACGGAAAGCACCAAAGTATAAATTGTAGAGGGATTAAAAACCGTATGGAGTAGATCCAGGGGATCTCAGATACTGGAAGGCACTCATTAAGCTAAATCGCATGATTATGCGCACTGTACTGTGAGATGCAGTCTGTTGATTCGATTCGACAGAGTCGCAGAGCATAAATGGTGCGATCGCGTGACAAGCACATGTAACATTTAGAGTCATCCATTATGTTTTCAATCCCAAATGTATAGAGATAAATGGGAAAGGGCAACTTGGGGCACTCAACTTACCGCACTGAATTCATTGGCGAGTTTCTTGGCGGTATAGAGGGATTTTTAAAGTACACTTTTCAAAGCTAGGCAGCACCGTGGATAAATTTGGTTTGCCGAATTAAAAGCAGTCTTCAAATAAACGAAGGCTAGCGTTTTAGCTTGTTTGTGAGCTTGTTGACATGTAAGCACATTGTGCAGTGTAAATTTTCGTCGTGGCGGAATTCGACTTGAACTGCACTTATTCTAATTTCGCGGAGGTTTGCATGTCATAGAAGCATGACACATATCACTTTGGAGGCAGTTTGTGCCGAATTAATAACGATATTCTTTTGATTCATTTTAGTGTGTGAATAATGGCTGGAAATTATCGGTTGGAGGACGCTTCCTTCCTACGTTGGAAAGTCTCGAACACGATGACTAAGCCACTCAACAACAAGTTATTGCGGTTTTCCTTTAACTACACGAGTTCGTCGCGTCCAAGCGTTTCGTCCCCTTTTAGCAGCATCGGCTCCTTTTAAATCATGGTAGTGGGAATTAATGTGCCAACTCTCCAGATGGGTCCACCTAACTATTTGGGCGTATTGAGTCCGCAAAATTACTCTTCAGTGTTCGACCTAAAGTTCTAATTGATGCGATTGGAAAAGAATTGGCCGTCCATCTTTCTCGACTACTGCTTTATTCAGAGCTCGTATATCGGACTGGCGTTACCAGTGGATCCAGCCTACTTCATCCCACGGTCCATCACCATGTACGAATACTCTTCAACAATTCTTTGTTTCAGTCACACATACCAACATTACACACGCTTTGGAATGGATTCATCAACAGAACTACCTTGCACGCTTCGACCAGGCTTATCTGTTTGTTTACACATCGAACTTGGCTAGTGTGCGACCCAGAATGCTTTTTTGTATGGCATGTTGTGTACGGTTCTAATCCACATTCTTTTCTTCCACCTACTTAACCAATGATAACTGACACTACTCTTAAAACTTATACTGCTGTTTCGCAGATTGCGAATACAGTCGGACACCAAACCTCCTTGAAACTGGGCACTTCGCTGAAGCTAAAGGAGTGCGTTTATGTGGACCGGTTCGTGGTCGTGGTCAGAGGCACCTCTTAGCTTGATCGTAAACAAGGACGGTCGGTTGACGATGTGCTCGTTCGACTACGGACTTTATAGATACCCTACTCTATGCGCTTTTCTCTTTAAAAAGAATTACCATCGCCACTGAAATGGGACTTTCGTCGGTGCGTCGCAGTGCCGCTATCGTTTTTACCTACCAGAAGTATAGCAGTATGTTCTGAGAGCAATTATAACCTATTGACAGATCAACCACGCGGTGCGAACGCTGCAACTTTTCCTTTGAATCCGCGAATAGGTTCTAGGGGTGTATCTGTTGGGCTCATGTAATAAGATTAAATGTAACTTCTAACGTTTCCGCCGACCCGGCTGCGGACCTCACCCGAAATCGTAATCCTGTTAGCTCGTGTTTTTCGCAATTGCGCCTCGGTGGTTATGTCTGAGTTGGTTTACGGATAGCTCAGTTTTTACTGTGGCGATTGTCATCGAGGGTAACTGTCATTTAATCTGCCCTCTTGATTCTAATGAAAAAGAATTGTTTTATTATAGTACACTTTGAGATGGGATTAGAAAACAGCGCGAACTGGGTCGTTGTGTCCAATAGTTAATGGCTTTAGACTATATGGCAACCTACGGCTGTCCATTCATTCAGCATTACTTCCCTGCCTAAGTTACCGATATGAGAGCCAATAAAGAATAATTTAGATTTGACGTACTCTGACATTTCTGCGTTGACTCAGTCCGGAGTCAAATACATTTCTATATACGCCGTCTCAATTCATGCAGCTGTCTAGCAGTACCATCGAACATTTGTAGGTGCTGGTATGGTACCTTACTGTGCCACATGTGACCACTTCATCATACGAATCAACGCCGTGGTCGTATTCGATAATGTTTTACTGGTTCTCACCAAGGGAGATGTGCGCAAGAGCATATTCAGAGTAAATGGGTGGAAATTACTTCTGTGCTGCCATTCGATATGCTACCTACGGTCGCCTCGGCGACAAATGTCGCTCACCTTATGAACGTGCGCAGCGGTGTCGCGTTGTCCACTCTGTTATCCTGTATATTGACATGTAGCAACAGAGCGTCTTTCGAAAGATGCGCAGATCGATGGAAAACATCGCTATGGAGTGGTGTTCCTCCTGTGGACGAAAGGTAGATCTGGTCCACCTTGTGGCAGATATCCGCTTTGTTTGCGGATTACTGAGTGTATATTAATGCTTAACTATTTTTGTTCAGTGTCTTCTGAATAAGTATAAATTGAATACATCGCATTTAGCGTGTGGTTACCAGACCAATCCCCAGTTTACGGGGTACGCCGTACGAAGGCTGATGCAGACGTATCATCGGTTTAGAGTTGACCTCATTCTGACGCACCGGATATTACATCTGGGTCACTTCCTTATGCTAAGGCTTCACGTGCGCGTACCAAGCAGAACTCGCGGCACCGGTACAAGCTATTGGTACCGGACCTAAAGCGGATTTTCTCAACTTCTATGCTTCCAGTGGTGAAATAATGGAAAATTTTGCCTGCGAAAATTGTCGAGACGAAGTCGATGTCGAAATTCAAGCAATTCCTGGACATCGACTTTGCAGATTTCAGATTCAGGTAGCTCATCGTACCCGAATAGCATAAGGCGCAGCTGCGTTATGCGGCAGACGCGCAGGAATCACTGATGTGAGTCCGCGCACGTACCTGAACTAATGTTCTGGCACGTACGCGTTTGTCTTCTAGCTTTCTATTTTCAGTAGTCAGCACTCGATCGAGCATTCTAGCCGTACTGTTGGCGATTCTCGAAAAGACGAAGCAACCTTCCAGTGCTCTTTCCAACAAATAGTTCGGTGGCAGTGTTCCAGGACGTAATGGTTTTTCGACTGGCAAACATTTTCCCTATAAAAGCCACAAACGTCAGTTTAACAACACTGTGACGTGGCGGATGTGGCTCGCCACTAAATGAAGTCACTACCTCTTACGTATCCGGATGATCTAACCCAATCTACGAATGTGGGTCATCTAATACGATTTCACTTCACTCCTCACGCCTGACCGAAATCAATCACAAATGCAGCGTCACATTCACAAATTCAATCAACACAACCACACTCGTTCTTGGTTGGCGACATCCAGTTCCAGATTTGCCTGTCACTGTGGCCTTCAGGGAGACAGTCACAGGAAGCCTGCGTCTACAGAGCGACCATGTGCGGCTTGCGCTGCACCACTCACAGCTCTCTCCACATCTCATCTCCAGTGTAGACTCGAAGGAATAAGGCCTGGATGCGTGTGGATGGGAGCTACGTTTCATCAGCGGAGCTGGCCCACATTCCTTCAGCAAGCACAGCGGAAGCATTCATGCCTAATTTGCAAATCATGCGTACCAGACATACACAAGGCGGTGGCTGGACCATAGTCCGCTCCACACTGAGTGCATGGAACCACTATTTGAGCCTAGCACGGTCACGAGGACCGTGCACCCGTCCCCCGCAGCAACAATTCTCAGTCTCCTGGAGCCAGTAATCAAGTTGGAGGGTGCTAGACAGATAGGCACTTTCTCTACATTCATAGCAGGCGCACCCACATTGGAGATATCACGCAATCAACATGGAATTTTAAGAAAATTAAACACACAAAATTAGGTAGAGTGTGAGAGCTGCGCAAATCAAATAAAGTGGAGTACATTTCATCCAGGTTAAGATTATCTAGTTTAGATGTAAGTAGGTGTAGCCCAACTGCGGTGAAGAAGTATGGTGTATGCAACACCATCCTCAGCATGTGGTTGATGTTGCATGCATTCATGCATACTTGTGGATCCATATGTTACAAACTTGTGCCGCTGTTGCATTTGCCAGTCCTTGTTGTATCACCATAATCATGCCTATGCAGGCGTGTCTCACACTGTCGAGAATACCACATTTCTTTATTTACCTAATCGCTGTCTTAGTCTAAAAGTTACGGATGCAACCTTTACCATTTAAATCTCCGTACTAATTGCTTTTTGAATCAGTCCTTAATGATCTCCTTCGGACTGGTTTTATGTTTGCCTTACGATAAGATAAGATGATGCACTTTAATGTTACCTCATTATTCTGCGGTCGCTTTATATTTTGCTTCAGCTCAGGACAACCAACCTGATGAATTGGAAGAGGCTATGTGCATTTGCATAGTCGCCATTTCTCGGCCACTTGCTGCGTTGCACATCGACAAACCAGACATCCGTGTCGAGTTTTCTCGTGTCCTCAAGATGTCACTGGAGACTATCGTGTCTCGCATGGCTTCTTGCCATTCCGCTCGACGCAGTGTGGACAAAACTGCGGTGGGTGATGCAACTGACAAGCCAATGCTAGGGCTGAGAACCCGAGAACTGATCTATCACTATCTACTATTCCCCATCATACGTGCGGCCGATCCGTATGCTTTGTCGCAAGCTCGTATCGGCATTCGACCAGCAGCGGCGAAAATTCTTTGGGATCAGTTGGTCACCCAAGTGATCGGTGAACCGGATGGTGACCGCGTACTCTCTAAGTTGGGGTCACGGAAAACACCAGCTGCTTTGGGTGGCTTGCACGTTGCAGTTAAACTCGCTATCAAGCGCCGTCGTTAACGCAACTGGTATCATATTGTACATATGCCTTTTGAAGAAGGACTTCACTGTAAACCTGCCTTAACTTTTACATCCTTTGAGTTTCGGGTTTCGCTGGTATAACTCTCGCTTAATCCTCCATATTGCAGTGATCGCTATCCGAAATAACTTAATAGTCCCTGCCGCCGTGAACGCAGTTCAAATGAACATGTTTTCGGATCGCTGTCCATTTAAGACATAGCACTCATCATTTTTTTCGCACGAATTTCTGCTGGATTTCTGAGATCGTTTCACGTAACATAACAAATTGGTTTTGAGGAGGATAGGGGTGCAGCATCTTTGACTTCGGTCAACTTAAGCCAACTTTGAACTCGACATCTTGGGAGGGCCGCGCAAGTTTGATGACTGTTGTTGGCGAAGACCCCATTGAATGCGCTCCTTTGATGGCTCTGAGTCATGGCGCAATTGTCGCTCATTAAAGGCAAGAGCATCAGTCTGAAGCTCACTCAGCTTTCAGCCACCTGATATTGTAGAGGAAATTTTTCAAATGTAATGAACTACCCTTGAGGCACGTATCATACATCGTTAGCTGAAAAACAGGATGAAAGCTCAACCGGTTGTATTTTATTTTCCTATCTAGGAACTTGCAGATGAAACTACGGCCATGATTTTTAGTAATGGAACAAAGAAACCTTGGAAAGAATTTTGTTATATTCGCCTTGCATCTGAAGGAAATCCACCGTATCCGTCGTCCGGGATTTCTCTCCAGCATTTCCTCATCTTTACGAATGGGCCAGGTCTCGCATCCGTACAACAGTACAGCACGAACAGTTGCACAATAGCCCGCCCTTTGATGGAGAGACGAATGTCGTGGCGACGCCACAAATGCCTCAGCCTAGAAAAAGCGAGGCGTGATCTGGAGATGCGCATCGAAATCTCGTCTCCAACAGCCCCGCCAGCAGTGATACAACTTCCCAAGTAGACAAAGCTTTCCACAACCTCCAGTGTCTCACCAGCAAGAATGAGTACAGGCAGAGGCACCTGCCAGTCTTGGAAGAGAGCCTTGCATTTGGATGGCGAAAAATACATACCATACTTTGATGCTTCAGTCGCCAAGCGGTTTAGTGCAAGTTGGACCTCGTGTGGATCATCACCCAGCAAGACGATATCATCAGCATAATCCAAGTCAACAACTCGACTATCTGGGGAGAGCTCAACGCCAGCGTTCAACGAATCGCCTATTGCGTTCTTCAAGACATCCTCAATGGCAAAGTTGAATAGGAACGGAGAGATAGGGCATCCTTGTCGAACTCCACTGGAGACCACAAAGGTAGGCGAAAGCTTGCCATAAGCCCTAACCCCGCCCGAGGTCAGACTATAGAGAGCGCGCAGTATGGAGATGAATTTCTCGGGGACACCATTCCTCAGTAGGCAGTGCCACAGTACTGTACGATCGACAGAATTGAAGGCTGCACGGATATCCAGGAACACAGCAATCGTTTTCCTCTGATACACATAGCGGAGCTCAGGCGGAGTGTGAAGATTTGATCGATGCAGCCGCGACTCTTGCGAAACCCAGCTTGTTCTTCTCGTTTAAACGATTCGCGTGTTGGGGATAGCCTGCGAAGTATGATGGACACCAGCAGCTTGCAAACGATGGGGGCTAACTTTATTCCTCTGTAGTTGGAGCAGATTGTACGCAGGCCCTTTTTGAAGATAGGGATGACTATCGATTCACCCCAAGATGACGGAACTTTCTCTTTCGACCAAATTTTCGAGAACACAGCGGTGAGTTCTCGAACCAGCGAAGCGCCACCATCTTTAAATAGAGCCGGAGGAAGACCATCAGTGCCGGGGGCTTTATAACGCTTCAGGTGCCGGAGCTCCTGCTCTCTTTTCTGGTAAGAGGGAGGATCTGTGGGAGTAGACCACTCGACTCCAGCGCGAGCGCCAGAAGTAGCAGGTGGAGCTGGCGGCCAACAAAACTACGAGCCACAATGTTCGGCCCATCGCTCCAACCGCCGTTGAAAGTTGGTGATTAAGGTGCCATCCTCTTCGCATAGTGTTTCACTTATACCAGATCGAGCACCTTCGGTGACTTGAATGAGATGGAAAAGTTTTCTGGTATTACCAGAGAGACTAGCAAGCTCCATCTCCCTAGCACGTTCACACCACCAAACTTCGCGGTCTATATGCAGACTCATGCGCAACTCTCGACCAAGGGATTGGCGTTCTTTACTATGCCTGGAATCCGACGGGATCAAGCGGCGTTTGTCTATCAGCGACAAGGAGTCGGTGGAAATCCAATGCTTCCGTGGGTGACGGGAAACTCCACAAGTGTCGATACTGGCGGAAACTAAAGCATCTTCTATATGCGCCCACTGCGAATCGAGATCACCGTCAATGGTTGAGCCAAGCAGGGTTGACAGTGAGGCTTGGTACCTAGTTAAACTCGCAGGGTTTTGTAGATTTGCGACGTCCGATCGGTAGTGAGCGCGCTTACGTGATCCTCCGAACCGCATGCAAATCTTAGCACGAACCAATGCGTGATCAGAGTCTAGAAAGGTTGACCAGTACGATCGGCAGTCCGTTACGCTTCCGCGCCATCTGTAGCTGATTGCTATGTGGTGAAGCTGGGAACACTCTTGCGTTTGTGAGGACGGGCGCCAGGTAGCAGTGTGTCTCCTCGAGTGCCGAAAACTAGTGCTCGAAAGAAACAAGCGATGATCAGAGCAAAGAGCAAACAGTCTGTCTTCATTGTCTGATCGACTGCCACCGAGACCAGAACTACCCCCAAGGTGGTGCTCGCTTGGTGGAAGGCGGCCAACCCGTGCGTTAAAGTCCCCGGCAAGAATGACTATATCAGTCCGTTTGGAGGAACGCAGCAATTCATGTAGTTGCTGGTAAAAGCTATCTTTAACTGCATGCAGTCTGTAGGGGCGTAAGCGGAGACGACAAACAAGGCACGCTTGAAGTCTCGACCTTTTCTGGAACACTGCCGTCGAACCATTCGCTAGAACGGGAAAAACCCGAATCACCCAGCTGGCACTACGAGGAGGTTGTTCGACAAACCAGCCTGAAGTTTTACTTGCGTAGCGGATCATCATGCGGTCGGTCATTAAGGTGTTGCCATTTGAATTACAACTTGACCGAGAACCACGGATTGTGCTCGATACCTGTTTAGCGAAACCGAGTGAAGGGGAACATCCGGCACTACATCACGCACGACTGTAAGCGATTGCTAGAAGAAGAACCAAAGCCCGACAAGCACGCAATAAGAGAAACTACCACGCCAATCATGAGGCTCACAAATGGATGCCGTTCATAATTGGTAAACATGTCAAGGTACGGAACAACGATCAACAAGAAAATTAAGGGCCAAGAGCGAGCAGGTTCAGGGAACGCTGGAAACGCCCCTACACCGTACTCGATCTGAAAGAAGCAAACATCCAAATCCGCAGCGGAGGAACGAAGTGCAGGGCGAAGGCCGGCCTTCTGCGACCATGTTACGTTAGGGAACAACAACTTCGAGAAGGGGCGTGTGGAGGGCGGCGGAAGCAGGTGACTACTAGTGAATGTTATCGACAACAAAAACGAGATTGTAGTTATAAACGGGCACAATTATTGAGACGAGACTAGTCTCTGCAAGCGTTGCGGATCGAGGCGACTGTGGATCACGGCCGGTATCTGGTAACAAGCGTGCGCCCCGAACAATGGAGCATGTATTTGTCGAGAACGTAATGAATCAGACGAATACGCCGCTAGTGAAGCCCACAGAAGTGAACGCGGGTCGATTGATTCCGCCACTGGAGAGCAAATCGCGAGCTTTCGAGTGACTTGTGTCCGGCCAGAATCGGATGTAGCGAAGCGGAGATGCAGGGTGGAAAGTTAGAGGGGCATCTGGAATAGCCTGTTACACAAATCTTCATCTGCGTTGCGTCGTGCGAATGAAACACGGTCCAAATCGGTACGGGTTTGTGAGTTGTCAGTGTCACGTTCTTGTGGCAATACAAGCTCTACACCCCCACCCCACCACCGCGTCGTTCTCGCCGCACTATGACGCGTTTCGATGTTATTACATTTCAACAGATAGAGTTGGCAGGCATCGAACGCCGTACCATAGGGATGTTATTTGCGACCGCTACCCCTATGCCACCGCTTACAAAGGACAACGCTTGGCACAACGGTTTAATGAACTACGTTGGGTGGTATGTTGGATTAAACGATTTGTGAATGGATTGCGACGCGCAATCACAATTTTGACCGCCATTCCCACGGAAGTGTATCTTGTAATTTCAACCACGGGGACCGTAGCTGATGCAAATAGAAATTGGGTGTTGCCCGCCCGAAAACACTGCAATACTACGTCGCGTTTCGATGTTATAACATTTCAACTGGTGAAGATCGCAGGCATGTAACCCAGGACTATTGTAATGTCAGTTGTGACTGCTACACCTATGTCAACGGTTCACGATGGGCAGCACTTGGCACAGCGGTTTCATGAACGATGTTAAGGGTCATTTTGTCGTACACGTGTGGATGGATTGCGAGTCATAATCTCAATGTTGTCCTCGATTCCCGCTGTAGTGAACCTTGCTCTTTCAAACACGAGGACCGTAGCTGGTTTGTCTGGAAATTGGGTGTTACTCACCCAAAACACTTCACTACTGTAACACGTTTCGATGTTATTACTTATCATCAGATATTTGACAGGTATCGAACCCAGGACCATTACGATGTTAATTGTGACCGTTACCCCCGTACCACCTGGTCCCTAGAGGTGACGCCTGGTACAAAGGTTTAATAATCGATCTTGATAGTTATTTTGTAGTACACCTTTTGTTTATGGATTGCGTTGCGCGATCTCAATCTTGACCGTGCTTCAAATTGAAGTGAACCTTGATCTTTCTATCAAGAAGACCGTAGCTGATGCAATTAGTTGTTGGGTGTTGCCCGCCCGAGAGAAATGCACTAATATAATGATTTTGATGTTATTACATCTCATCGGTTATAATTAGCAGGCATCGAATCCGGGAACATATGGATGTTAGTTTTTACCGCTAACCCTAAGCCAACAGGTCACTACCGGCAACGCTTGGCACAACATTTTAATGAACGATGTTGAGGGCAATTTTTAAGT